AAGGGACTTAAATGTCCACCTTAAGATTGGAAAATTATAGTTCCTATTAAGGACAGACCCGCGAAGAGGCCAACTTAAGGTGCAAAGGGACTTCAACGTTCACCTTAAGATTGAAAAATTAGAAATCTCCAACTCGAAGACTTGGTGGACTTGACGACTTCAATTTGAACACTTGGCGAATTTCGAAGACTTGAGCTTTAAAACCTGTAAGGCTTAAATAAGTCAACTTGAAGACCGGCAAATTTGAGGACTTCAATTTGAAGACCGACAGACATGAAGACTTGGAGGAATTGAATACTTCAACTTAAAGTTTGGCGGACTCTGCAGACTTCAACTTGAAGACCAACAAACTTGAAGATTTGATGGACTTGAAGATTCGGCAAACTTGATGACTTCAAATTAAAGATTCAGACTAATACTAAAAGTCTACACCCATTCATCGGAGATGCCAATTTGCTATGGAGGCTTGCCCCCATTGAACCACCAATCCTTGATAAAGCACAAAGTTCATGTAAGCCCGATTTTGAAGTTCCAATCAAGTGGATTATATTCCATCATTCTTCCTTCGAATAACAATTGGGGTAACATGTATATTTTGAACTCATGTGACTGAACTTAGAATGAAACTCCAATATGCTTACATACCTCGGTGAAGAGGATCAAGTCATACCGTAGTTCAGAATGGGTAAATTTTTTTATGTTCTAACTTTTGACTAGATCGCCTCTTTCGAGGTTTTCAAACTAGCAGATTCTTTTTTTTTTGTGAGCCGTACACAGTTTAGACTCATGTGGGCCAGGAGTGTAGGAACATGCAGTTTAGGCTCGTGCGTCAAGGAGCATAGCGACTAATTGATTTTCTTTGAAGCCATTTCGATGTTCTAGAACTTTGGTGATTGAAAAATTGAGATGAGAGGTAGAGATTGTTCCAATGGGCGTGCCAAAATTTGTAAACAATAAAATTGACGTCAAGAAAATAATCGAGACCGAAAAATATCACAACAATCGTAGTATTTTATTTCGAATATTTGAGTGTTACAATCCCTATGAATCCTCACATTCTTCTTTCCAATAGTAAATAAATTCAAGGGCCTTTGAGCTTGATCTTGAATCTATATTTGTTGCCACGAACGATGATCTTGAATTCAACTAGCACGAACTTTGATTTGAATTCGTACTCCTTGAATGTTGATTTTTTATTCGTTCTTGAGCTTGAACTTGAACTTGATTTCTTGAACTTGAACTTGATTGCTTGAAGCTTGAAACTTGTAGAGAAATTTGCGGCGTTTGATTCACGAGCTCTCTCTTACTTCTTGTTATAACTTCTGGTGTATTTTGTGAGTTATTAAGACCTCTATTTATAGTTGTGGAAGGGAGGAGTTATGATAAGAACAAACTCTTTCCGACCAATCAAATTGAAGCGTGACATGACCGTATTTGATTGGCCAAAATATGTCATTTGCACATGTGGCGCGGTTTCATTGGCCTTTTGATTTGACTTGGTATGCCTTGTCATTTTGACACGTGGCATGATCCCATTGGCTCTTCTGTTTGACTTGGCGTGCCATATCATTTGACACGTGGCACCAAACTGGGCCTCTAGGAAGATGATATATTGGGTTCCATGAAGTGGGCTCATCGTTTTTAGCCCAGTTAATGGGCTAGCCCAATGGATTAAGGCTTATTTATTTAACCCATATAAATTAGACATATACAATTAATCCACTTATATTAGCCCAATAAATTTATTTGAACTAATATATCTTGAATTTAAAATATAATCTAAATTATTTTATAAATTTAATTCTAATAAAATTTATATGTCTACGCTACCTAAACTTTCATCTTGTTAGTAAAGATTTGATTCCTCAAACTACAATTTCCTCCCTTATTTTCCCTTCCCCTACACACTAAATTAAAAAAAAAGTCAGTATTTATACTTTGAAATTTATTTTTGACTATTACATTAACATTTTCACACTTTAATGAAGTAAATATCGATTTTAATATATTATGTTCAATTTCTAAATATGAAGTTGAATTTTTAAAAAATAAGTTAATATATCCTCAATTCAATTGAAAAAATATACTGACTCACAAAGATTCAACATTCAACTCCAATAGGTTCTCGAAATTACTATTTAATTTTTAAAAAATAAGTTAATATATCCTCAATTCAATTGAAAAAATATACTGACTCACAAAGATTCAACATTCAACTCCAATAGGTTCTCGAAATTACTATTTAATTTTTAAAAAAGATTGCTCAAGCTTTTAAGTTAATTTTCGAATCAGTAACTGTGACTCAAATATTAGTTCAACAAACCAAATCCATTTGGGTGGTAAAAATTAGATTTTTAACAAGCTTAAATATGTGGGTTTAAATTTTAGATTTAATTTTGTGAGAAATTTGGAGTGGGTGTTATTTAGACTTGTTAGAAATAATATAAGGAGGTTGTATATAAAATTTGAAGTCATTTAATGGAGATTTGGACTGGTTTTGAACAAGAATTGCAACTAAAAATCGTGGAAGAAGTTCGTCTACAGACGCTTGTATAAAGGTGTATAAAAGTGTATAAGATGTGTTTATACACTCTTATACAATATTATACAAGATTATACATAATTATATAAAAAACTGACTTCGTCTTCTTCTTTGCGTTTTTTCTGAAATTTAACTCAAATGTTGCTCAAATTTATTCCAAATCACTTCAAATTTAAATTTTGAACTACCTTATGATATTTTCAATCAATTGGAACAACACCCAATCCAAACAACTAACAAACTCAAAAAAATTCTATTTTCGAAAACAAAGCTTTGAATGGCCTTCAATTGTGTACTTCTACTTTTCAATTTTCTTACATTGCAACCAGGTGATACAGGGTGAGAAGCAGTAATGGCGGACGGCCCCTTAAAGCATATGTAGAAGATGTGAGAAGGAGAGAGAGTGAAGGCAATGATTGTGAGAACACAGATTTAATTAACTACATAGCTTTTAAACGCAATTGTTGTAAGAAAACAGATTTTGAATTTGTTAGTGATTTCAAAATATGTACAATATAGGTTAGATCGGGTAAAATCTTAAAATATGGGCCATATTTAATTATGGTGTGAAGTCACGTGTATTTTCTTGTAATTCTTTCTATAAAATATCCATATCGTCGAAAAGTATCGGGGCAAAATTCTTGTTGAATCCTTAAAGTCCTCGCTATTTAACTCTCATTTTATTAATTAGTGCTACTTTTGGGGAAGGGGAGGAGGATATTTAGGCATGAACATGAAAGTAGCAAAGGCAACTCTAGTGTTTAATTAGAGGTAAAGAAATAAAAACACCAACAATTATGTGAATAGAAGAAAGTCAACCAAAATTAATAGAGGGAGACTTGCAAAGGTCAACAAAACTATGCATGAAAAGATTTTCTTAAAAAAAATACGTGCATCGCATCATACTAAATACGACTAGTTAGACTCTATAGAACGTCAAAATCCAATTTTCAAATGCGTCTACCTTGGTTAACTTTGAATGGTTGACTTTCATAAATAAATAAACTTAATTATACATCTCTCTTTCTCTCTAGCTTTCTATAAAGCAAAGCAATATCCTTCTGTGCCTTTGGCAAGTTATTGAGACAAATAACTCTTCAAAGTCAGGAACTATATAATCCAATCCGTTTACTTTTAGTTGAAACATTTTGACTTTTCACGCTTCTTAGTAATAAATAAAGTGCCTAATTTACCATGATATTCATATTAATTGATGCATATTTTATTGGATTTGAGAAAATGATTTGAAATGAGTAATAAATATTGTGGGTATAATAGAAAATAAATAATTTGTCTTCTCTTGATATTCGTAAAGTGACAAGTAAAAATGAAAATCTATTTTTAATATACATGTCAAATAAAAGTGAACGGAAAGAGTATATGAATAACATTGGTGGTGGCGGACGATTTGAGTTTTATGGGCGCTCAATTCTACGAAAGTGACCTTAAAAGTTAGTAACTGAATTTTTAATTTAATTCTACATATCTAATGAATCAAACCAATATTGTACGGTCCTTTTTTTTTTTTTTTTTTTACTTATTCTCATGCTACATATTTTTAGGCATGTTACACTGAATATATAAATATAATAGTTTACTTATATCATGATTAAAAATAACAAATTAAATTCTTCTTCAGACAATTTCCCCTATATTTAAAAGAACTTTATAATCCCCTTCTATAAGTAACAGAAAAATTAAATGGAGGGCGCTGAGTAGAGATTGGAAGTTAAGTATAGGTTACTTGTGAAGATGTTTACGAAAACGAATTCACACCTTACATGTGGCAACAGCATCGCGACTCTGGTCATTTTACAAGGCGTACGTAATTACGTAATAGTAGTATTCAACTTAATCGTGGAAAAATGCCAAAAGTTAAAGAACAATGTAAAACTTTGATTTTAAGAAATAACCTCATTCCTCAGCTAGTAAACTACGCCTTTCACNAGGTAATTGACAGAATACCGTTATCTCTTTTTAAATGAGCAAGTAAAACATTCTTCAAGTAGTAAGGATGGAATTATAAAAAAAATTAATGTCTTCTATATTTTTTATGAAAAATATTTTAGATTAATATTTGTTAGGTAAAGTGATAGATGAAAAGAATTGGATGGAGTAATTATTTTCTTATTTTATCTTACTCTTTTGTAATATCCCGAATACAGTCCGTTTAGGCTGCTTTATACCTAAAATTCATTTAGAAGTCAGAACCATCTTTTAGTGCCTTTCACATGAAACTTCATTCACTATAATGTCCAACTTTTAAATTTTCCAGTAGTTTTCAGAAGAAGCGTGAGGAACGCACTAAAAGCAAGCAAAATGCCAATCCAACAGTCCAAGTGCACTTGCTTAAGTGCGTGGATTTTTGCCAAACTTTCCCACCACCACTTTCCTTAGCATTTCAACTTTGAAAAACCCAGCCTTCATTATACAAAAGTCATATATAGCTATAATTCCATACCCCCTTCACTCTTTAAACCTCAAACGCTATGGCCTTCAACAAGCCTAAAAAGCCCCTTCTCTCTCTTAATTCCAAACTTTGCACCACCTTATTTTTCATTGTTCTTTTCACCATTCCTATCCTTCGCCTCCTTCATACCCCTACTAACTCTATTTGCTGCACCTCTTCTTCGAATATCGAGTCTTGGTCTGGTGATCTACGTGATGCTGAATTTTCATGGAACCGTTTGAAGTTTATTGATAAAAATCCCCCATTAAAAACTCTAAAAATCGCGGTCTTTTCTAGGAAATGGCCTACGAGTGCCACCCCAGGTGGCATGGAGCGTCATGCCTATACGTTGCACATGGCTATGGCGCGTCGTGGCCACAAGGTGCATGTCTTCACATCACCACCAATGATGGATGACTCTGCCCTAAGTCCATATCTTTCACCAACTATTCATTGGCACGAGGGCGAACCAGGGAAATGGCGTTACAATAAGGCGTGGGAACAATATGAAGAGGAAAATGAAAGAGAACAATTTGATGTAATTCACTCGGAAAGCGTGGCATTGCCTAATCACGTAGCTCTTGGCCTTTCGAATCTCGTGGTATCTTGGCATGGAATAGCTCTAGAGAGTGTACATTCAAGCATCTTCCAAGATTTAGCAAGAAATCCAATTGAGCCTATGACACCTGCTTTTAATCAAAGCCTACAGGGCATGATTCCAAAGGTGTTGAATGAAATTCGATTTTTTCAAAACTATGCACACCATGTTGCCATAAGTGATAGCTGTGGAGAAATGCTTAGAGATGTCTATCAAATTCCTAGAAGGAGAGTCCATGTGATTGTTAATGGAGTGGATGAAGAAGAATTTTGTGAAGATTCAAGACTAGGCCATGACTTTGGGTCCAAAATAGGTGTGCCCCACAATGCAAGCATAGTACTAGGTGTAGCTGGAAGATTGGTAAAGGATAAAGGGCACCCTTTACTTTTTGAAGCATTTTCACAACTCAAAGAAAAATACCCTAATGTTTATTTAATAGTAGCAGGGTCAGGACCTTGGTTACAAAGGTACAAAGATTTAGGACCTCAAGTTATAGCCTTAGGTTCAATGAACTCATCTGAGTTAAGAGGATTCTATAACTCAATAGATATTTTTGTGAACCCTACACTTAGACCACAAGGGCTTGATCTTACATTAATGGAGGCAATGATGAGTGGGAAACCAGTTATGGCTTCAAGGTTTCCTAGTATAAAGGGCACAATTATTGTGGATGATGAATTTGGATTTATGTTTTCTCCAAATGTGGAGTCTTTGGTAGAAGCACTTGAAAAAGTGGTTGAAGAAGGAAGAGAGAAATTAGCACAAAGAGGAAAAGCTTGTAGGGAATATGCAACTTCTATGTTCACTGCAAAGAAGATGGCTTTGGCTTATGAGAGATTGTTCCTTTGCATCAAGAATGCAACATTTTGTAGCTACACTTAGTATTTTCTTTGAAAATATTTGATGTTATTGATTACTTTAGGCATGGAAATTTTCTTGAGGGGTATATATATAGAAATTGTTTCATTCTCTCTCTGGTAATTTCCGCATCAACGTTAATTATGTTTAGTTTTATTTACAAAGGGCGTGCATATAATTGCATCCTACCCAAAAAGTATCTGTGGCATTCAATTGAACCTTCTATTAAGTCTCCGCTCGATTATTCTATTAAATTGAGTCTCTTTTGCATATCAATTGGTGTAAAAGTCTTGGGGAAAATAATAAGTCCCCGGCTCCAATTTTAAAGTACGCTGGTCAGAATTTTAAAAAGCGGTTCCGGCAAACATCAAAATTATGAAGCACCAGGAATTCAGCCATAATGCTGAAAAATACCGGTGATCCTTCAAGATTTGTGGCAAAATCTTGACGATCACTAAATTTTTTTAACATTGTGGCTGAAAATTCTAGTGATCGTCAGGATTGTGTCATAAATCTTACGATCGCCAAAACTTGCTGAAATTCTAACGAGCGTGCTTTAAAATTTGGTGTGAGACTGTTTTCTCAAAACTTTGTTACCGGAGTTAGTCTGATTTACAACTGCCCATTGATAATTAGCCATAGTTTTAAATTTGATCAAATTTTAGCCACTTTTTCATGTGAAATAAAATTTACCCTTAGTTAAAATTCAAATATTTTTTAGTATAATATGCTTGAGTTCAAATTTTTTACGTTTGAAATTCTAGCATAATGTGCTGGAATTCTAGCATAATATGCTGGAGTTTTATACGCAGGAGTTTCAAAATCTAGCATATTAAGCAAGATTTTTTCGTGTTTCAGCTAAAAAAATATTTTTGTTGAAGTTTCATCTCCGTATTAAACAGTGATTACTTTTCAGTTATTTTGCAAACACTGACTATTTTTCAATTAGCAATCTAAAAACTGACCAATCCAAGCTATTTAACACTATTTGTGTCATTCTCCTTTGATGGGCCTGTGGATGTAAACGGCATGCGGCATTAAAAGAGGGCAAGTGCACAAATAGTCATTCTCATGAATGTTATTTAGAGATTAGCCGGTACTTATTTTGTTCTGAAATTTTAAACTAAAATTTTTAACTTCAAGACATTTTTATCCTGAAAAATTGAACTGAAAAACTAAAATTCAGGACGCATTGACTAATTTCTAAATAGTAGCCCTTTAGAGTGGCTACTTGGTGTCATTTCTACCCTTGAAAGAGTAGAATCCATGATGTTCCAATGAACAATTTGTACACATGTTCTAATGGAGGTCCAGAGAACCCAAAAGCAAAGAAAATCTTCTAGCCCACCTGTTGATAGACCCACTTAAACTCTTCAAAAATTATTGTTGGCTACAGTCCATGATCAACATCAATCCAACAAATTTGCTCTTCTATTTTGCTCGAATCGATCATAAGCAGGCCGAGTTCTTAAGAACAACAACACACTCGAGACAAGTCCTAAAAGAGCAAGACAACCCCACCAGAGAAAAGTTGACAAGTAACATTTCCTCCCCATACAAACCACTGTATCAGTCATCATGTGTTGTGCAAAAGTAGCACCAACAGCATTATTGTCATAAATGAGAGCAGCAAGAAAACCATAGACGAGTGATCCAATAGGGATGTTTGTTATGAGAATGTTGTGGTTCACTCCAACACTATTTGGTCCAAATAATTCTGATGTAATTGACACTGCTGCAGCAAATATGAATCCTGAACTCAATCCAATTAAAGCTGTTCCTGCTTGGATTGCTGCCTCATTTCCTGTTGCTGCTAACAAAAAGAATGCTATTGGTGTTGGAACTAATGCAACGGCTAGCCAACCTGTCCTTGCAAAATACAGTTTCCTGTAAAATTCATTCAATTCCCATCTCAATTCAAATCATCATATCTACATTTATGGCACGCAACAACGAATTCGGGATCTAGTGTCAGTGGGTTCAGAATGAGTATAATGGTATTACATGTATGCATTTTTAATTTTTTTAATTTATAGAAAGTAATAATGGGATCAGTAAAAGAATAGAACCTGCTCTAAATCCGCCTCTACACCTACTAAAACCAAAGTCATTATGCAGAGTGTTATGATCCATTCCCTTCTTCCACACCCACCCCTTCATACAACCAAAAGAAAATAGGAAAACAGAGGAAAAGTGAGCTTTAACTTACAATCTGATGAAATCTGGAGCTGCAGAGAGCAAGCGGCCAAAGAAGGAGAAGGATGAGTAAAGTGTGATGAGAGTGGAAGTCATTGAACTATGTCCAAGTGACTGTGCTATTTGGCCAAGATTGTTACTATACACAAGCCCAATTGTTCCTCCACAAAAGTATGCAAGATAATATAGCCAAAAGTCCAATCTTTTAACCAGCAACCCTGCCTTGTGTTCTTCTCCAAGCATGTACAACTGATCCTTCCCAATTATTTTTTCACAACATCCTTGATCACTAGCTCCACCGGTGCCTATAATCCTCGCAAGTCTTAGTGTAAGAGTCGGTCCATCACCATTTACACCGTAGGACATTACATTGATTTGGCTATTCTCGCGACTAAGTAATTCTTTATGAAATTCAAGATCATCAGCATCAACAAGTAGTAAGCCGGATCCTTGAAGGGGAAAGCTTGAAGAAATTTTCTTCTTAAACCATTTCCTTGCATAGATAATGCCTGGAATTCCCAATGGAATAACAAGAAGTAAAATTGCACCAGCAAAAATTACACGAGCCGTTGATGGATCTGTCGAATGGACAAAGAGAAGATAGAGGCCAGTGATTGCAGCTAGGAAATTTAGAATTACGAATATGAGTTGTTCGTGTTTGATGGCATCAGAGGGCAGAGAATCGATAGGGGGTTGTCGCAGGATTGGGACAATGACTACAATTGAGGTGATTAAGGGAATGAAGGCATTGAGAAGTAGGTAAATATGACTAGAAGAAGGATTTATAGCCATTGCAGCGAGGTTGTATAAGGCTGCACTAACTCCATTGAAACTCACTGTGAGTGCAAGTGCTAATGGTCTGTTAGAAGGGAAGTTTTTTATGCAGAGAACAAAGCAAACTGTGTTGAACCAAGTGATGCTGCATCCAGCTAACAAGCAAAGGAAAAATACCTGCAACAATTAGTCAAAAGGAGCTGACATATTTACAAGCACTAAAGAAGTGCAAGATCAAACCAATAACAATATGCTTTCTTTTTCTTCCATTATCTTAAAAATAATTTGTTTGATTTCTCCTAACATGGAAGAAAATAATATGTTGGTGATACTAATTGGTTGAGATTACGTCTTAGTCATATTAGTAGGTTACATTTAAGCCCATTGCATTATAGGAGCGCTAGCTTTTTAGTCCTAGATTTCGGGATTTAGTGGCCTAACGCCAAACATTAATATGAGGACTTTCCTTTTTTGAAAAATCTTCTTATATAATTAATGAAGTCTTTTTTAATTAGCTTTTGAGATGCAAAATTATTAATTATTTTTATAATTAATTTTTTCTCAATTGACAATATAGCCAATCAATTTAAGCTTAGCAATGATCTTAGGAAAGATTGTATTAATATTAATTTTGAAAAACTTCTTTCGGTTGAGACAATTATTATAGGAATCGCTAAACATTATTATATAAGCAATATAGGCATTTAGCAAAGAATCAAGTCTTCTTATGTGATGAAGTATATTAACTAAGATATTATTTCTGACAATACTTCTCTCTAGCGCTCTATGTCTCTATAAATTTTTTCTTTGTATATCTTTATTAATTGTTATAATTTTTTTGCAATCTCATTTCTAAATCAATCCATACATTCATTCGAAACCTGATTCTATGTTGATAATTTACTACTTCAATTTGCTTATTGCACAGTTTGAAAATTCGAAAATGAACAAGAAAGAATATGCAATTTACTTGTTTCAATTCACTTAAAGCTTGTTTTTTGACAAAATAATGACTCTCTCGGAAGAATAGATAAAATGAATAAACATATACATTTCCAGTGAGAAAGAATAAAAGAGACGCAAAATTTGGGTTATATGCCACTGCTTATGTCAAATGCAAATGGCCAAAAAAAGGTCTCCATTCATAAATAAGGTCAAGTAAACTATAAAATAAAAAAAATTGTCTTTTCCTTTTTATTAGAAATTTATACTTTATATTTTAATTCAATATTTAAAGAAAATTATACGCCTATTTGCTACAATTACTAACTATTATTGAAAATTGGGCCCCCTAAAATTTGGAGGCCTAAGGCACTTGCCTTAGTGACTTGTGCATCAGAGCCACCCCTGCTAGATTTATATACGAGCCAAAATTAAAATTATTTCTTTTTAATTTTATTATGTATAATATTAAGTTAAATGAGCTTAAATGAAACTAAATGAATAGTGGTGATTGATATGGCTAACTTCAATTTACTAGGGATTTGAGGTATATTTTTGTTGTTATTGTACTTTTCTTTAGAAGAAAATGATTTTAGTTGTTAGGGGATTTGTAACTAACGGTTGAAAGGTAAGTTCACTGACGAAAGGAATAGGGAAGGTATAGTGTAAGACCATACCCCAAAATGCCGTTCAAACTTCAAAGAGAGCTTTCACAGGAACGAACAAAATGAGAGGAGGACAAGTGTCTCTTTGATGCCTTTTGTCTTAAGCTACAAGGAAAAGCTTTCCCTCTAAGAATATCCTTTACTTGACTAAAACCAAATATTCTTTTTTATTTTCCCTTCATATTTTACATCAGAAATGTTGATAAGAACTATTCGTCGAAAAAAGCAGAGAATATATATGCTCTAAAAAGAGAGAACCAAAAAAAAAAAAAAAA